GAGGAATGCAACAAGATCATCGGAATCGATTCGAAGGTGAGTAAATACACAGTTATTGTTCATGTTAAGGTTTCTAAGGATATCCTAATCTTTAAGTGCAAAATACACTGTTTTCGTCATATTTGAAGTCGTCATTGAAGAAACAAATATATCTAAAAATAATACCTAGCATATGAAGGTTCAAGACTTATGCCCGGTTGCACCAATTAATTTTAAATTTAACAGCCCGCTCAAATTCTAAAAGTAATATTACTCTTTTAAATGCCATTAAATTTGCTCAAATATATTTTTTTGTCGAGTTATCGTATTTTGAAATTTTCATGTTTTCTATGAGAAATTCATAAATAAGGAAATTTCCAAATGCGATAACTAGGCGAAAAAAAGATATTTCAGCAAACTCAAAGTTTAAGAAAAGTGTATCGGAATCTTGAAATTAAATAAATTTAAAGAAAAGTTAAAAAACTTACACTAATATGGTTATTCTAGCGCCGCGGCTAGAAATTTTATCCGATATTTCCCACTGTGCAAATGCCGGATAGAGAGCTAAGATCTTTATAATACAAATTATAATTTAACCGTTATTTTGTGATTTTTATTTCTTCGATCATCTTTAATCGTTAGTATGTGATTTCTATTTTTCGATCAACTTTGATCGTTATTTTGGACTTTTATTTTTTCGATCATTCTTAACTATTATAATAGAAACGCTTTTTATAACCGATTTAAATCTTTTATGATTTAAAAAATTAAATCTGTCAATAACGGTTATAATGTGATCGGAAAAATAAAAATCCAAGAATAACGATTGTATTTGATCGAGAAAATTATTAAAACAATTAAAAATTCTCGTAAGAATATGAATCAAATGATTTCGATTGTGCTATGATTTTAAAATAAAAATTCTTCATAATAAAATAGACTGATAGCTCCATCAGAGATCGCGTTTTAGCTGTTGTGTGATAAGGACGTCGCTTACTTCCAAAGGAGCTGTTAACGGCAGCCGATTATAAATGAGATGACTTAGATATTTAATATGAGCATTTTCTGGTTCTGGGGCTAATTACAATGTAGACGGACTCGCTTACCGTACCCTTGCTTTTACCCTTACTAATGCTAACTATTACCTTGCGGATAAATCACCGCAATTGCGGAGGTACATTGGCGTACAGATCCTGCCTGTCGAATTAATACGTAACTATTTATATCGACCTTAAATTCTGAGTGAATACCTATAATCTATACTATGGTCGAATCCTGTTTGTTTTGATTTCCCGCTCTTTCAGAATCCGGGATGAAAAAATTCTATCTGTGGAAAAACGAAATTTTACTTTGACCCAAGCTTGCTGAGATAGTGATCAGCGATCCGGAAACATCGGGATGAACTGATAGATAGATAGATTTTTGAAATAGCTATGCACCGCGAGCTAGTGGGTCTATTGTGCACTCCACTCATCACACATCTGGTAATCCGAAGGATTCCAGGAAATCCAGGAGAGGCTTTGGAAGTAACTAGTTGTGTATGTGATATTTCTAAGGCCACACTGAGCCTATGCGGTTCGTTCGTCGCGTCGCTACAGCTCAGCTGAATCTAAGAAACGACAGAGATCGGTTGATCAGATTACCAGCTTGTGCAGATGTCCTCTTAATCTGCAGTGTCCAGTGGGGATGCCTGTATCTATTCTAAGTTTATGCTTGGGCCGGTCATTAAAAAGTTAATATCTTTTTAGATTATACCCCGCAGTAAGCTTTTGGCCTGGCGAAGACCTGTTGTACTATGCCAGTGTTGTTCCCTAAGCTCTTCCCTAATAGTGTTTGGGACTATTGCAAGGAATGGCTCGAGACCTGCCGGGACAAAGTCGCCGCTGTTCTGGCTAAGCCGTCCACTATCTCGTTCCCTCGTATACCCTTGTGATCTGGCACCCACAGTAGCTGAATATTATTGAATTCCGCAAGGGTATTAAGGTCAACAATGCACTCAAGCATAGGGCTGTCAGATATCTCTGTTGCCAAACCGGGACACTTAAGGGTGGGAAAGGCC